AGTCAGTCAGTCAGTCAGTCAGTCAGTCAGTCAGTCAGTCAGTCAGTCAGTCAGTCAGTAATACTATTAGTAATATTCAGGTAGAAATTAAATCTACAAGAAGCTGATCTGTTTGTTTTCTGTTCTGCAGCAAAGGCTGATGGGAAATGGAGTTCCAGAGGATGGAGCCCCCCTGCAGGTGAGGAAGCTGCACCACAGAAACATCTGGAGACACGCTGTCCTGCAGCTGATCTGAGATGTTTAACAGTCCTGATGTGTTCCAGATGTTTACTCCCGGACACAGGAGGATCGCCTCAGACTTCACAGAAGCCAGCAGAAAACCCTCCCCTGACAGTCCACAGGTATACACTCACCTGTCCCCCTGCCTCGTACATCACCGACTCATCCATTCATCCAGTGACCTCATTCATTGACTCACTCATTCATTATCACCTGTTCTCCCTCCAACCAGCTCTCTAACAGGCACAAGCTGCGGAGGAATCTGTCCAATCAGAGCACAGGCTTCAACCAGCTGCATGTAGGTTCTGATTGGCTGTTGGACTGTCCGTCAGGAAGTGACAGTGCTCGTACTAACCTTTGATCTAACACCTTATTGTTACCTGAAGGGAACTTTTTGGGTAGATCAAATTTTCCAGATGTGAGACTTCTGCCTAGAGAGCCGCCGAGTGTTTGTCCTCTAACTGTACTAATCCCTCACTGTGTCTCTGAAGGGTTCTGAAGTCCTGCTTGGGTCCAGCTGCTGGTCCTGTTGTTGCTTTTCACAGGTTCTGACCCGTTTGTTCACAGCCGTACAAATAAAATGTCTCTGGTGTTCAACCGTTTGGTCCAAACTGAGACAACAGAAACTGCTGAGACAGATTTAACAGTTCAGGGACACGTCTGACATGTGTCCACATCAAGACATATGTCCAACATGTGTCCACATCAAGACATATGTTCAACATGTGTCCACATCAAGACATATGTCCAACATGTGTCCACATCAAGACATATGTTCAACATGTGTCCACATGAAGACATACGTCCAACATGTGTCCACATCAAGACATATGTCCAATATGTGTCCACATCAAGACATACGTCCAACTTGTGTCCACATCAAGACATATGTCCAATATGTGTCCACATCAAGACATATGTCCAACATGTGTCCACATCAAGACATACGTCCAATATGTGTCCACATCAAGACATATTTCCAACATGTGTCCACATCAAGACATATGTCCAACATGTGTCCACATCAAGACATATGTTCAACATGTGTCCACATCAAGACATATGTTCAACATGTGTCCACATCAAGACATATGTTCAACATGTGTCCACATGAAGACATACGTCCAACATGTGTCAAAAACTGCAGACTGTTTTAACAGTCCAGGGACATGTCCAATATTTCTCCTAAACAGAGGATGTCCACATGAAGACATATCCATGATCTCACAGAACTACAAACCATAAAGCTGAACTAGAGATCTCTTTAGTTCGGTTTTCAGATCAGACCTCCAGTTTAAACTTTATATTTGGATTCTTGTCATCACTGAAAACATTTGACTGAAATTAAGAATTCAAAATGAAAAATTATTTAAACTAAATAATTTTTAACTTTTATTGATACGTGAGCTTTGATGACCTGAAGTGTTAAATCTTCAGACRAACTCTTTAATTTCCTTTTCATGCAGTCGGGTACAGAAGTCCCAGCAGTTTGTTTGGGTTTGTTGCTCCCGTTCAACCAGAACCAAACAAGGAAACTATAAAACCATTCTTTCAAACCAGCTTTCTTTACAGATAAGACAATAATCAGGTCCACATTCCTGCGAGTTTTCTGCAGATAACCGACACAGTTAAATCTTTAAAGGCCTTTCAGGAGGTTCTGGGGGTCAGTGGGCAGGTTCTAGGTCCAGTTAACAAGTTCTTCCAAGTCCTGATTTCCTGGAAACTGATTCTGGGACAAAGCAAGCTGATGAATAAAGGCCGTCAGGGAGACAGACTTCTACCACTCCCATATTTACTCCAGAGTCACATTTCAGAGTGGACCTGAAGACTCACCTGTGTCTCCGTGTCTCTACAGAGCCACCTGCTGGAGAAGGCAGGGATCATCAACAAGACCAAGGTGGCTGACAACAGCAAGAGGATCAGGTGAGTGCTGGTCCATGTGTCTCTGAGGTCTTTGTGGAGACGAAGCATCACAGTCCTGCCGACTGAAGACAGTTTTTCATTTGAAACTTTGTGTTTCTGTTGGACAGGAAGAATTGGAGTCAGTCCTGGACCGTCCTCCATGGGGGGATTCTCACCTTTTTCAAAGACCCCAAATTTACTCCAGCTGGGAATGCTGTAAGAACCAGTTCCAGATCCTTAACTAGGTCTCTAGGGGTCCTCATGGCATCCCTGTTTTCAGCTAGTTTCCTGTTAAACTCTGGACCTGTGTCTCTGAGACAGGACTAATTAGGACAGAAAATTAACTTTAAACATTAAGAGGATCAACAGTAATGGTGATGATAACCTGTCTTYCTCAGAGCAAAGCTTCACAGATTGTTCCAGAATACACCGTCGACCTGCGAGGAGCGTCCATCCAGTGGGCCTCCAAAGACAAGTCCTCTAAGAAACACGTTCTAGAGGTAYGCTGCAGACCTCCACATCTGCTTCTGATGTTATAGCAGAAGCTCCACCTCTCTCTTTCTATGTCACGGTGTTGTGTTGTCCTGCTGTTGTTTGTTGTTGTTGACAGATGTTACAGCCGTGTGTGACTGTGGTGTTTGTGTGTGTTTGTGTGCAGCTGAAGACTCGGCAGGGCTGCGAGTATCTGATGCAGTACGACACAGAGAGCATCATCACTGACTGGTTCAAAGTGGTCCAGGAGACCATCCAACATCTGACAGTGCAACATGTGGTACACACACACACACACACACACACACACACACACACACACACACACACACACACACACACACACACACACACACA